CCTCAAATGCCCCCCGTCAGCCACCTGCCCTAGGTCCCTCACCATCCCCACTGCATCCCGCTGGACCCTCTCCAGTTTCTCCAGGTCTTTTTAGCCTGGCGTGCAGGCGGCGAAGCTAAGCACCTATTTCCCAGTGTGGCCTCACCAGTGCCAGGAAAGGGAGGGTAATAGTGTCGTGTTTGCAGTTATGACCCATAACAAGTCTTATACAATCAGACCCCCAACAAGCAATTTTCATAAAGTTAAAACAGTCTTTTCTCTTTGACAGTAAAGTGGGGGGGGGGTGGGGGGGGGGTGGGGTCCCTCCAACTCAAACACCTCCCAGCTTTTCAGTATCCTTTCCTAAATGCTGATACCAAAATCCACTGGAGTCTTATACAAAGCCCTTCTATTCCATTTTCTCCCAGTAACACAATAAATGACGATTACTTCTCCTGCCAATGCACAACGTTGGCAGACCATCTCATGCTGCTTTTCTGTCATACCAGTCAATACCCAGATTCACCACCTGAAAAAAGGTGCATATTCTGAACGGTTTATCCTGCAGAGCCAAATGAAAATGTATATTAATACACATGGTTTACATGGATTAATGCCACCCAAAAGAATCCGGACCATCCCATCTTATTTTCCCTCACCTATTTTAACATTTATGTTGAAGGAATTAAGAACAAAGTTTCTATTTTAAATTGCTAGCAGAAGAAAAGGCTGAAAAGCACCAAGTACAGAATCTGGTTAGATGCATACAGTCAGTTCTATGATTCCTATTGACCGCCATCAAGCTATCACCCAAGTAGAGCATATGCTAGGATTCATAAGGTATATGTATATGTCAAGCCATACAAAAGTCTGACAATTTAAGTACATTAGATTTATCAAACAAACTTTTTATTTTAAGTAATGTCAATGAAGCTTAATTCCTGTTATCATGCTGTAGATAGGAATAGACAGTGTTAATTACTTTCTCTTGAAAAGTAAAACAGACTTTCATTTCTTTTCTCTACTAATCTTATTTCAAGAACTTACCTTTCTCATTTTTACAAGGGACATAGTTTTCACTCTCTACAATTTCCCACATACCCTAAATATTCCCTGCTACGCCCATTATAATTTTTTTTATCTTTAGTATAAGCTAGTGACTCCCTTAACTTACCAATGGACTGGAGAGTATTTTAGCATTAATTAATCATGATGCATTCCAATTTTTATGACATTAGAAATTAGAAGAAATTAGAAATGTTTAAGACATTAGAAATCTGCCTCATTGTCTTTGGCCCTGCCAGCTACGCTTCCTCATTTACTAGCATTATCTACCCTTATATATATATATCTTTTTTGTTCTTCTATTCCATTTTGGAAAAAAAAATCCAAAAACACCATCACCAAAAAATGTAGTTTTCCTTCACTTTGGTAAATTCACCAAAGGTAGAGACATTACTGACTAGCACAGCGCCTTGATTACATGCAGTATGAGTTAATAACTTGTTATTGGCTCTGACACAAAGACATCAACTTCTACTGCAAGGTAATGAAAAACAAGAATGAAAAGGCCAATCTCACATTAGGCACTCTAGTTTTGGCGGGGCCAGGGGGTGGGGGGGGAAGTAAAGTTTCTATTATTGGCCCCATAGGCGCTTTAGCATATTGAACTCAATAACATGGTGTGCTTAAGATGCAATTCCACTCTTTGATTCATATAAATTCACTGCTGGCAGTCCTCATTGGTTTGTCTGGGGTTTTTTTGCAGACATTGGGTTTTACTACATATTCAAGAACCTTAAGCAGGACATGAAAATTATTTCGCACCTACTAGAGCAATTTCCTTAGTTCAGAAGTTTGAAAAATGCCCAGCTTGAATATAAAACCTAACTCCACAAGGTAGTAATCAAACTGAAACTTCTTTTCCCTGGTAATTAATAAAAGCATCACATAACCTAAATATAATTTAGGAATATGCTTCTGACTATCTTAGTCCACAAATCCAGAGACAGAAGGATTGGAATTTAAAGTTCCCTAGCCTCTCCAATTAAGCATACAAGTTTGAAAAAAACAAAACAAGTTAGATTCAGAGATTGTGACAGTTTGATGAAGATACACAGCCAGAGCATTTTACAGAAATTTTAAGTAGAAAATCCCATATCCAGGCCTGAAGTTCACTAGCTTCATGTGTTACAGCAACAAGAAACAAAGCCAGGAGGGGGAGAGGAAGCATTCTTCTGAACGCTCAAAGAGTGTGCACATGAATTCTGAGAAGACCCAGATCGAGGTTGTAGAAGTAGTGGAAATCCTTAGACCAACTTAAGATATCTCCTCATAACAGATGAAGACAAGCATTCCTCCAGGTCTGGAGGAATAAATAACAGAACGGAGATAGTTAGAATGTATATATTCCAATGCTTCTAATGACTGAAATAGATTTAAAGAAGAATCTTAGCTTAGCTAAAACAAAGTCAAGAACACCACGTTCCTCATATGACAATCAAACTGAAGCCCAGTTCTCTTAACTTTTTCCTTAATCACCTGCCACTTCCTCTGATATTAACAATGTTTAAACGTTCTTAGTAGTGATGATCAGCTAGGATAACATATACTGAAATTCACGTCACAGTGAAGTAGTAGTACATTCTGAGACAAAGAAAGATAAAAGTAGGAGGTCTCCAGACTGTGAAAGACAACCAAAGACTGAAACCATAATTACAGTTTCCATCATACACCATTATCTTCTTCAAAAAAAGACAGAGATAGAAGTATACACAAAACAAGAGAACTATACTTAAAGAACAGGTAAGAATGCAGAAAAGGGACTAGAAGCTTTAACCTAATCAAAAAGCATCCATCAATTTCCTTTCACCTTTCTCATTCCAGAAAGAAAAAGAAATCGATTATGTGATAAGAGGAAAAACAAAACCACCACAAATCCACTGAGCTCTCTCCCACTAGAGATCAAGACCCAAAATATTTGCCCTTCATTGCATATCAACTTTGATGAGCAGTGTCTCTCAAAAGTTTCATGAGCCTGAAAAGACTGTCTTGGAGTCATTCGAAGTGAAATTTTATTGCCTAGATGTATGAACAAAAGTTATTTGATGTTTTAGGTACCACAGACAGTGCTAAATTTTCCTAGTGCTACTAAGGAAAATGAACCCGAATACTTCAGTAATGTAGCTCTTTTACTGTACACCAGCATAATTATCATACAGTCTTTGACCTAAGAGACTTTGGATTTTATCACTTCATTCTGAGTTTCATTTTATGAATGCCATCCCTCTGTCCCAAATTAAGTAACTTATTCCATGCCCCACAGTGACATCCAAAGAGGAAAAACCCTCCGAACCACAACTCTGTTGCTACGCATCTTAAACAAGGCCCTTTTCATTCTGTGGAAGCCCTTCTTTTTAAGGTTGCATTTCTTTAGCACTAACAATCAAGATTTTCTTTGAAATAACCAATGTCCAACAGATTCACACCATCACAGAAGGGCAAGATTACTTTTAAGAAATATTTCAGGTTAAATTAGAAGTTTCTTCTAATCTTTACTGATGGAGGAAAACATAATCAATAATTACTACTACATAAATCAAATTTCCAAAGTCTTAGAAGACCTTGCATTAAGTCATACATGTTTATTCACTCCTCACCTTCAAACCCACTTTATCACTGAAAACTCAAAAAAAAAAAGGTTAAATGAGTGGACAGAAGAGAAACCTGCAATAGCATCAGCTTCCTGCAAGAGCAAAAAATGAACTTTCAGGTAGCTGATATTTCAGAAAAACTGGAGGAAATACCATGTTAAGGCAGCATAACCACAAGAGATACAGCTTCTATTGTCAATTTCAAACGATTTCACAAGAAATCACTTGCATTTGCCAATGAATTTGGACAATTTTGAAGAGGTGACTTTCAGAGTTTCTGTCCATAGATAAATCATACCAGAGCAACAGTAGTAATTAAACTTCATCAGCAGTAATTAAACCTTACCTTCATCTTTATATTTTATTGTGACTTCATCATTGCTCAGAAGTTTTCCTCTAAATACTCTTTGCATCATTAGCACCAATTCATCATAGGTGATATCTTCATTATGAATAGGAATTCTCCTAATATCTTCCCCAAGCTGAGCTTTGATGATCAGCTTCCCACTTAAGTCCAGCTGCCCATTCATGGTGGACTCCTTATAGCCTGCAGACCCATTAACAACGAAACATTAAAAACATTTTAGAAAATGAAACTGTTAGCAATTTAAATGTATCTGATGACAGCTCTGAAGCTTTCCATCTTTGGAAAGCATTACTGTTAGGAAGCTCTCCAGAGAACCTCTCTCGGACACATTCTATGATGCACTAATTTATCAAACAATAAAGTGCATGATACATTAACAGAGCTCACGTGCAAAGCAGAACTCTGTAAGATCCGATACTTCAAATTAACAGTTATCACAGTTCCCAGTGCTCAGAATTTAAAAGTAAAGATTTTTTAAAAAGTCAGACAGCTTTTAAATATGTGTGACATTTAGAAATTTCAAACTTGGGTGTTTTTTTTTGTAAGATATCAGCTGTAAACTGCCATGGAAAAAAAAGCTATAAAGGAACTAACATTCCCTAGGATTTGCTTTTGAGATACATGTATACATCTCTCTCGGGGAAAGTGAAACTGTAGCAAAAGCTGTCAGCCTTACATTACATTGGTTACATTATCACTTATTAGATTATTTTTACATCCCCCATAATTATGATAACCAGCAAAGGTTGGTTTTTTTTTTTTTTTTTAAGAAAAGACTACCAGAACAAAATATGTTATTTCAAAGTTTATAGGTGGCTTTAGTAAGGGGATCAAGTTGAATCATGCATTATTTCATGAACAAATAAATTAAGAGCTAAAGATTGGTTTTATTACATGCATGATCAGAACACAGTGAGGGTTCCTCTCCAGAAAGGAAGACACAAAATTTTTCCTTTTTTGAAATTTTGACTGAGATGTTTGAACCAAGATTTTAGATTTTTAAAAGCCACTCAATAAACCACACGTTAGCTACTCATTAGGTTCAGAGCCGCAAATTTGTTATGCGGTGTGCATGGTCAAAACAATCAGTTACTCTCAGTGGTTTAAGAGAGGGGGACAACCGCTCCAACTGAAAAGGGAGTGCAACAAAGCCATCTTGCGTCCAAGCAGCACACAGTATATACTTCAGAGTTATATCTTTAACACTTTATATAAGACAATTTAAAAACTATCACTCTCTTGTTACAGAACACAAAGGCCTTATGTTTCAAAGGGAAACAGAAACAACAGAGACAGTAGTGAGCAGAGGAATGGAAAAAAATAAAAAAAATCTAGATAGCTTGCCAAATGTCCCCTTCTTTCTTCAGTTTTGGACAGGGCCAAAACAATACATCTGGAATGAGGAGCAACTAAAGAAGCAGTTATCTTAACATCTGAAGTATAAATACTGGAGATCTTAAAAGTAGGCAGCCTTACACATCAAAATTGACATTTCCAAAGGCACATGCAGGCAAGCATGCTGTTCATCCTCTTGTGCAAAAAGAATTCTCGGTGGAGATACACAGGTATTTCTCCCTTACCTTTAAGGATGTTACAACACAGTGCTTTATGAGAAAACTGAATTTTGCTTTGGTCAGTCTATTTTTAAAGTACTGCACTGAAAATTATTTCTCTCCTACCAGAGAAACAGGACACTCAGCTAAAGCCTTTAATACGTCATACCTTGATGCACCTATATATATTTAACTCTACTGTTTCAATGGCAATGTTTTGCATTAAAAAGAGGTAGTATGATGCTATCTCTAGATTGCAAATCAGTTTCTGGGGTTTTTTTGGTAATTAACTTAACAGAAAGCAAACATTTCGTGCAAATCCCTTTGTTTAGCCCAGTGACATCGGAAAAAAAAAAAAAAAAGAGACAAGGAACTACTGAACAAAACTCATTCTCCTAATCAGACATAACAGGAAGTAGGCGGTTACAGTCTAATTGCAGAGAAAGGGACCTGCAATTAACACAGCCAGGTTGCTGCTGAGACACTATGATGAAACAGTGAAGTTTATAATATCCTTAATGCTCACTAATGCATTATTCATATTTTGCAACATAGGAGTCTTGACTGCAGGCACATCAACTCAGTCTGATTAACACTTTAAGCTGGTTGTAAGAGCATAGGGTTTTGCATAAGTTGTTTGTTTGTTTTTAATTTAAAGCATTAAAAAAATAAAACAGCGTCCATCCACAGGTTTTCTTTCACCTCCTTTCCGAAAACATACATTTATCATTACCTTGTCTGTCTTACTGATGCTGGATTATTGGACAGATTTCCCACCTCACTTCAGGACAGAGTTAGGATAAGCCGCCATGCACTATCAGTGCCAGAAAACAGGAAGCTGCATCAGAAAAAAAAACAAGAAATATTTATTTACAGTCACATTTCCTTAGAATTATACACTTCACATCTTTCACTTTAGAACATCCTAACGAATATACCCAACTAAAAACCATCACCGTTTTATCCATAATGTAACAATCAGATTTACACTTTTGTTCAAGATCTGTTTTAGTTGAACTTCAAACTCTACAATGCTCAAGAGTTTTAATTTCATAATAGAAGTTTATTTTTTCTAAATTTTTTAACTGCATGTAGGAATTCCTAACAGTAACGTGTTCTTTTCGAGGACAGTGATCTTCCCCAACAGTCTGAAAATATTAATTTGTATGGCCTCCATCTTAAAACCCCAGGTTAAGTTAAAGAAAGTAAACTTTGATTGATTTAGCAGTACAAAAACCTAGAAGTCCATTTCTTAGCCTACGGCTGAAGCCTCTGTGGCATTAAGTAGTGCATCTTCAAGGACAGACTCCACAGCATTAGGACAGACTACCAAGAGGAAAGGAGTAGTAATGCTACTTTCCCACAGGAAGAGCCACCGAACTGGGCAAGATGGAAACGCAGTCAGAAACAACCAACCTCTTAAAAACACGATCTGCCCTCAATTCAGCTTAAGATTGTGCTGCTTCTGCTGGAAAGCCTACATGATGAGCGGTGTGAAGTTTATGCAGTCCACCTGATTATTACACAAGTGCTTAATGCCCAGAGCTACAAGACAAGGATTTAACATACAGACCAGTCCAATGGAGAACATAACTGTGCTCCTCCCTCCCACCCGACAGGCGCACTCTACTCAGCACTCTTCTCCTTGTCTCTCTCTTGCCCACATGGTTAATCTCAAACATCCATGATCTGATTTTTAGATGATTCACTGCTAACCAGAAAGAAAAAGCAGGTTCCTCTCATCCATGTGAAATTGGGCTTCCCAGCTCTCCTCTTTCAACTCAACTGGAACGGACAGGCATGAGATGTACAGGATGGCAGCAAAGAGCAAGCAAACCCCAGAGAACGGACAAAGCCCCTCTCTGGTTCATAGGCTGGCAGCTGCTCCCCTCATCCTGGGTATGAAATGTTCACCTTTAAAAAGGGCTGTAACTTGCTCCTGGCAGGGAGAGGGTAAGGCTGTTGTGACATACTAAGGAGGTGAACAGGAAGAGACTACTTTTCCGATTCCTCACTCACACCTTATGAAATGAGTAATGCATGAAGATGGCGCCCCTTTCACCCCAATCCTGCTACAGCTCCAGGTAAAATTCACTGCAATGGACAAACACAGGATACAGATAACGTACCTACGAGTGGTTTAACCTAGAGAGTTCATTTAGCTACCATCTCATGTTGTTTAAACATTAGAGCTGGGCACTGGGTTTGCTTCTTTAGCATTACAATGTAAGCTACTTAGAAACTGACAACAATAAGAATCAAACCTCATCTGTAAGTCCTGAAGATACACATTTTGGTGGACACACCCGAGGTCCTGTGGCCTTTCAACAGACTGACTGCATCATTTGTATCTTTGTGCAAGGAAATCAGCTACTGTAATGTACTTACAGAACTATAATGTCTTATTTACTGACATCACTCACAGAAATCCACTGTGTGTCTATCAACGACTATGAAAAGGTAACAGGAAAGCATTTAAATGCACTTTTTTTGGTCCATTCTGCTTGAAGGTGTCCAGGTTTCATGAGACAGATTCTAAACACTGCAACTGCTTGCAACTGTTACCAAAAACTACGTGAAATGTTCCAATTATTGAATTGCACAGCATTCAAGCTTTTCCTCCCTCACTGTGACATAGCTGGATGGATGACTCGCTTGAGAGAGTTTTTCAGAGAAGACATCCAGAATGCACACTAATGAGCTTTTTAACAGAACCAATCAGAGTGTCTACTTTCTTGAGGGAGAAAAAAAACAACCAAACAAAAAACATTATGTCTTCCTGTTTAAGAAAGACTATTTTTCATAAGACTCACACTGACGTCTTTCTAACCTTCCTGGTGTACCACGTGCATTTTGGAGGTACAGATTTTTTCCTTCCCTCTTGGCTCACTTTCTATTCACATCATGCACCAATCTAAATGGTGCATGTGGACAGTGACTGTCCAATCTAAGTCAGTCACTTCAGGATCCCTTCTAAAGCCATGATGTCATAACCACGCTGGATTTCACTACCCTTTTTGCATTGCAGCAGAGAAAAACAGCCTTGCCTATGCAAGGGAAGAACAATTTCCCTCTGTAAAAAGAGGGACAAGGAACAACAGGGTGAAGCATACAGAAACAGGGCCAAGCCGGACTGCCTCCCAAATCCTACTCGACGGAGCTTTCCCCAAGATAGCTGCGGGGTGAGGAGGGCGGTGAGCAGAAAAGAGAAAAGCTCTTTTCATTTTTCTCCAGTTACGATAAGGGCAGGCCCGACCCAATGGGGAGCAGAAATCATAGCTATTCCCAGCCGGGAAATGAGGAGTCTGCAGGTCGCCTCGCTCCCAAGGGGGAAGAGACTCGGTGAGCAAGGGAGCACCCCCCCTGCGGAGGGAGGGAGGGAGGGGAGGCCCCTGCTAGCCCTCACCCCCGGCTCCCCAGGCCGAAGAGGCCGGGGGGCGGCTT